TCATGACAAATCAAATGTATTCTACATAGCTTGCAAAGTATATATATATATATATATATATAGCTAATGAATGCAATTACTATAATGTTTTATCACCAAACAAAATTCAATTATTAAGTATCACCAACTACGTAGTAGAAGAAAAAAGTAAATGAAAGCCATTTTCTTATTTATGAGTCAAAGCCAACTCCTAAAGCTACAGTTCTGGTTTTGTTATGTATTTTTATTCTGCAAACCATCAAGAACATTCAAATTCTAAATATACAGCCCGAGTTGGATACACTGTCTTAATTGAAATTCTCTTATTTAGAGTCAATAGCAGCTATGAATAAAATGTTGAAATGTTATTTTGAATAGGTAAGTTACCCTTCTTCTACACATGTGTGCGAAACCCATTACAAAATAAGACTATTAAATGCTCACTAACAAAGTTGGAAAGACATCATGTGCATCTGATTTTAAATGTAGTTTTCCAATCTTTCTGTGACCACTAGCATCCAATTCAAACTTCCTGTTCTGGAGAGATTAATAGCTTTTATTACAAAGGCCAGAGAGCTAATACATCAACTCTTGACAAGTACTGCAATAAATAATCCTGTCATGTCTCAAAAAATATATATCCCTCAACTGCTCAGTAGACAACTCATATCCAACCTACCCACACCCCCTACTATTATGTAGTCTATCGTTTCCTATTTACATTTTCAGTCTGTCTACTCTCATCACATTTATTCTTCTTTAAATGAATCTCAAAATTATTATAATCAAAGTTTTCTTTTTAGAACCTTTTTTTCTTTAATAAATTCCAAGTTCGATGATCATAAACCAGTAACATACTCTTTACCATATCCAGAACCAATGTCATATTTTGTTGGCCATTGCTTAAAATGTGTACTTATAACATCATACAGACAACGTAGAAACTTATGCTCATATTGATTATCAAATATTAAAAAAACAAGTAAGCAAAACAAAGCTCTACGTTCGAAATTATTTGGAAAACATGAGCATGGAAAAATTTTGGGGTAGCTTGCAGATGCATATCTAGCTCCGAGAGAAATATCCCAGTTTCTTCTTCTTATAAAAAGTAAAAGAGGACATTTTTTTGAAAATAACAAGGACTGACCAACTACACAGAAAACTTAAGACACCTTGGGTTTTCCTTTCTGCCTCACAAGTTGGGCCTTCTCAATCAGCTGTGTGACCATTTGAATCTCTTCCAGTTCTTCCTCATTCTGTAACAAACCTAAAGGAAAATAATCAGAAATCTGGTTTAATTATACATATAGAACTAAACTTACTGCCCTAAAATAAGTGAATCTCAGAGACTGACATGACATGTCAACTTTTCTTGGTTCAGGACCCATTTATTAAACACCTGGCTTACCAAATACTTACTAAATAAATAAACTATTATTTATTTTCAGAATCTCTTCATAACCCTCCCTTTCATACACGAGTATCGAAATGTTACTTTAAACTATATTAACCCTTTCGAGACGTGTT